ACTTTCATCTTTCAAAGTGGTTTAGATTGAAACCAATCTTGAGAATCTTGCACTAGCATCCAAGTATTCTCAAGATACTTATTCTCATCTCAAGGTTCCATTGGTGTGGAGACTTAGAGGCCATATACTTTTGTGGCTCACATGGAGGAGAAAGATCAAGGAGCAAAGATCAAATATCAAAGAGGAGATCAACAAAGAGGAAATCATCAAGAGAAGACCAAACACAAATTGGTTCATATAATTGCTTCAAGGGTAATTAGATCTTATCCTTTCTCTTGAATTTTCATTTATGAAAAACATATCAATGTTCATGGCTTAAGATACTTGGAAGAAGTTTTGTTTTTGGATTTAAACAACCACCTTAGACTTCCGCTGCGATTAATTTGATTAAATGCATGTTTAATATTCAAATGAACTTTGGAAAAATGTTTTGAAATATCCTACAATACGTTCCCCAAGAAGACCTCCAAGAGAGACTCCTCCATCGAAATCTACGACCCAACTTTGTCGTCATGCGACCCCAAGTTTCTCACTCTCCTCATCCTCTCCGCTACCTCGCTCTTCAGACTGAAGTACGGCGGTGAAAGAGATACCCCGATGTCTTCTTCACTTTGAGTTTCTTGAGGTTTGTATCTCTATCCTCATGTTCTTATTTTAATCTTTTGTAGCTGTTCAAATGTCTGTGGTTTTAAAGGTTTTTTTTTTTTTTAGAGATCTTCACGTTTGGGCTGTTATTTGTTTGATTTAAGTTAATTGATTAACTAGGTTTTGTTCAAAGATGGGTTTTAGATCTGGAGTTCTTGTAGAAATTGCATGTGGGTTTTAGGTGTTTTGTTGTAGAAATTTCATGTTCATGAATGATAATATGTTCTTTTGATAAGTATTATTGTTTGCTGGTGGAGCGACCCCTTGGAGTTGCCCACCAGCTGCTCGACGAAATGTTTGAGAACAAATTGGTGCATGAAATAGGTATTTTGTAATATAGATTGATTGTCCAAGAACCGAACTATTTTCTTGTTGTGAAATCGCTAATTTTGTGTTTCATTTTTTCCAGCTTTGCTCTTCCCTTCGAGGCTGAGGCTGACTTCCCTCCTTTTCTAATGCAATAAACCACATCGAACTATTTTCTCTTTTGTTTTTTGTTTGTTACATCTCAGCCCACCAGAAAACTGGATCTCCTTTTTTTGTTAGTATTTATTTATTACTTCCAGACCAATATTTGTTTCTTTCTACTCTGCAGCAGCTGCTCATAAAACGGACATGCGACCTATGATTCTCAAGGAATGTGTTGGTTTTTACAGATATATTTCGATTAAGGCAATAAAGCCTAAGTCTCCTATTGATGTTCAATAATGGCTTACCTATTTTGGTTATGAATTCTTTGATGACAACTTAATGGTGAGCTATCTTGTTACCTTTTCATGAAGAGTTATTTATGAAAAATTTACTGGCTTTAATTAAAAAACTGAAATCTGTATGTTTAATGTCTATCTCTCCTTTGTGCTTCCATGGCAGTGGTACCCTCTGAATATTGTCTTGGGTTGTGCATTCCTGATTTTCCTTCTAATTATCAGGTTTATTGTAAGTATTGATAAGTTTCTAGTCTCTCAATCTGCCCTTTATTTTTCCTATTGTTGCTTTGACTGTGAGTTCTACCCTTTATTTCTCCTATTATTGAGTTCTACCCCTTATTTCTCCTATAATTGCTCCTATTATTGAAGATGAGGTCAGTTGATGAGAAATTGATTTTTGCTAGTTACGAAATATTCAATGGTATATTGGATATTAGATCTCTTACAGGTATCTTTCCATGCTCCTTATATGAAGAGAAAAAAAAAACTTCCTTGCGGTTGGAGAACCTAACGAAGGAAACTTTTTCTTCTTTCTTTTGTTCAGATTCCTGTGACACTTCATATGAGGCAGTTAAGGTGTTCAAAGGGAATAGAGTAATTGCATCCAAGGGAGAAGCATGTGCAAACTAGAGAGTGTACAAGCTTGTGTCTTATTTTGCCTGTGAAAAAATGTGCAAGAAGGTAGCTAACTCACACACCCAAGAACAAAGTGATGAAGTTCAGATGGAATTGGTAGAGTTTGTGAGCAATCACATGTAGCTCCATTATTTCCAATTAGGTTAATGCTATGGATGTGGTAGGAAGTATGTATGTGGTACGAATAAATATTGTTTAACTATGTAATAAATGTTGAATCTTGAAATTTTATGAAAGAAATAAATTTTGGGTATATATATTCATTAATAAAGTATTATGGTTGATTTTCTAGTTAAAATTGTTGTGTAGAAGCATTGCAAATAAAAACTATAAAAAGCCAGGGAACATATTAGACGATATATTCATAGAATATTAACGACGGTTTTATTGTTAAAAGTGTCGTCTTTAATAACAATCAACGATATTTTTCTTGTAAAAACCGTCATCTTTACACATAGTCAACGGCGATTTTTACAAAAAAAACATCGTCTTTACATATAATCAACGACAGGTTTTGTAAAAATCGTCGTCTATTATATGAAAAGACGACGGTTTTTTCAAAAAAATCGTCGTCTATTAAACCGTCGTCTTTTCATATAATAGACGACGGTTTTTACAAAAAAAGGGTCGTCTTTTCATATAATAGACGACGGTTTTGAGTAAAAGCGTCGTCTTTACAAATAATAGACGACGGGGATTTACCGTCGTGGTTTTATGTATCAAAAGATGTCGGTCGATTTCACGACGGTTGAAAAATCGAATACACGACGGTGGATTACCGTCGTCTATTACGATTTTTGTAGTAGTGGACCCACCAGGATAAGCATGCAGTGCTTCAATGGTTGCAGCTCTCTGCTCAAAGGGTCAGCTCCAAGCATGATCGCATGACCACATGTAAAGCCATCTTCTTCATAGATCTTTGCAAGCTCCTCCGCTGACTTATCGATCTGACACAAAATTGGTAACAAGAGCAAACCTTTGAATCCGAAAGGGTAGACCCAACAATTTGTTTCACTTTCCCCTGAAACCAAATCAACATAACAAATACAAAAAATCAACAAAACACAAAAACACAACTGGGCTAAATACACACACATATAAGAAGATGAGAAGACCAATAACCATACCACTATTGGAGCAAACCCCTAAGAACCCAAAACCAGTGCTCTCTCCAATCCCAAACCCAACACTTCCAAGCGCACCCAAAACCCCATCAACTCCTCACCCAACCCTCACTCTCTCCCCAACTTCTAACCACACCCACCTCCTCAACTTCCACAAAACCCATATAAAAAACCCACCATTTCGACCCCAATCTTCCTCAATTCTCTCTTTTGTTCTGATTGTGCTTTGAATTTTAACAAGGGGGGAGTTCGATAAATTTGAAGAACAAAAGAGAGAATTGAGAAATAAAAAATGGGAAGACTCCGATGCAGCAAAAGGCTAAAGGAGAGATAGAGTTAAAAGGCTAACGGAAGAATACTAACGGAACAAATAGTTAAAAGGCTAAAAATAAATTATTACATGTGTCTCATTCCTATTGGCGAGTACACCTGCTCGTTGGTGTACTGGGTACCTGCTAAAATTTCTCCTATTTTAGGAGTTGGATAGGGAGAATGGTTGGAGTTGTATTTTTCCAATTTCTTCTTAAAATTTGTCTAAAGAGGTGGTTTAGGGAACCCATTATGTATGTTTAGGGTTAGTTTTATTGCTTTGTTGATTTATTGTTATTGGAATTGGATTGCTATTTCTAATTCCACTAACCAAATCTGTGGGAAAAAATTGGTAGACAAAATTGGGGAGGCAGCTGGGTGTGGCGAGGAGAGAGAGGGTGCTAGTGGTGGTTTAGGGTTTTTATTTTTATTTTTTATTATTTTAAATTATTAGAATATTTAATTATGCTTTTATCTATGTGGAGGTGGGCTCCACTTGCCACGTTATTGCTCATGTATATAAAATTACAAAAATATCATTGTCACATCATCAAAGTTAACAGACTTTTGGATAGAATTGACGGTAGGGGTAAAGTGAGTACCAAACTTCGATTAAGGGATGAAAGTGGGCCATTTTGAGTTTGGGGGAAGCAAAATGGGATTTGATTGAAGTTTCATAGGGCATTAGTGTAATTAATCCTTTTATTTTAAGTGGCAATCGTAGTGGTTTTCAAATCAAACACTACATACCATATAGTAGTACATTATGTGCCAAACATGTTTCTTCTAAGAGTGCCAGGGGTAAATGGAAGTCTTATTGTGAGTGCAAAACACAGTTAATTTTAGGGGTGTGTAAGATCCAATCCAATTTGTCCAAATCGATCGATTCAATTCAATCCAATCTAATTTTAATCAATTTTGATGATTGGGCAGATTGAATTGGATTCTTAATTTTCAAAACCAACATGATTGGATTAGATGGCAATTTTGCTTGTGAGGATCCAATCCAATCAAATCAAGTTAGTTTTATGCTTATTTTGCTCATTAAGAAAGTTATAAACATTTTAAGTAATTTGATGGAATTATATTTAATATATTATAAAATTAAAATAATTTTCTATAGCATTTAATTTATATTTTACATTTACATCTATTAAAATATTTAATTATATTAAACTTGGCGATAAATGTTTCATATTTCATTATTATCTTTTTCTATTATGAAAACCAATCATCCAATCCAATCAAAAATCAATTGGATCGGATTGGATTGGATTGAATTTAAACCTTTAATATGATCAAATTGAATTGGAAAAATCATAATCTAATCAATATTGGATCGGATGCAGATTGGTGAAATTGTATTGGCTTCAAACTAATGTACACCCCTAAGTTAATCTTTGCAAGAATTGTCCCATTGATTTTAAAGCCTAAAACCAAATATTTGTATTTTGGCCTATTGATTTTGGTCCCGAAAATATTTTGCTTTTAAATGTAAAAAATTTGGTGTAGAATAGAAACTAAAATTAATTTATTTCATATATTTTGTAGAAAATATAAAAGAAAAGCATGGTCCCCTCGTGTCATAAAAGCAATAAGAAAAGCAGAACTGCTAAAAAGACAGAGGGGCACAAAACAAGAAAGGAGGCCTTAAATACAAATAGAAGCACACAGCCCACGAGAGGGTCTCTTTCTTTGTCCAACAGAAAAATGTATTTCAGACCCCAAAAACTAATAACGCATCGTTTTATTGCGAAAACGTAGTGTGTCGGGCCCAAAGTAACATCGGGACTCGGGAGGACCTGTCGATGTCATAATGTCATTTAAGATATCGCTCATTCTGTGGTCATCATGATTCATGAACAAACATTTGAATGTAGCACCAAGATTTTTTCGACATTGAGAAGAAACACCACATAACATCCATAGCTAGTAGGAAGATTCTTTGTCAAACAGAAAAATGTATTTCAACCACAAAAACTAATAATGCATCGTTTTATTGCTAAAACGTAGTGTGTCGGCCCAAAAACTTCCTTCAATACATGACATTGTCTTCTCCACAACCACAAACATGTTAGTCTCTATCTTTTCAATTTTAACAATTACAAATGTCACGTAGACAACTAACGGAAAGATCTGACGGAAACCCTAACGGTGGAATCACATTGTACTAAACTGTAATTAACCCTATATTTTATAGAAAGTAGGTGAGCGAGTGGGGATGGTATTTTATTATAGAAAGCAAGTGGGGCTCAATATATCTCTTTACTTTGAAGTAGGCAATATTGCCTTGTTGGACAGAATAGATACATTTTACCTACCCATTTGTCTCTTCCCTTGGAGCATGGAAATAATGATGTGGCAAGGCAAATGAGGTTTGCCTACTCTTTTGCCTCTTCCTTTAGAGATGCTCTTATAAGTGAGAAGCTACACTTGTAGGGATTGCCATTCCTACACTCTCAAATTAAGCAACAGAAACTGAGAAAAAACAAGATCCTGCAATTGCTCAAGTAAATGGC